TTGACTTGTTTTTTTTTTAAAATCATACTTCATCTATAGAACTCTTGGTTTTCACTAATTAATCCTGAACATAGAAACTAGAAGAAAGATAGTGAGTGTACATATGCATTAATAAAATTGACAAGAAAAATGTTATATTCAGTTAGTAAATTGACAAAATTGTAGTTGCTTTATGTTCTTTGGCTTTTTAAAGCACATTTCTTATTTCTTTTATTATTCTCTATTTGAAGGCAATTGACAATCTTCTTGCATTTTTCTTTTATTTCTAAATTTTTCTCTCTTCTCTTATCCTCTTACTTCTCCATCTGCTTTCACTTTTGTTTGCTTGGCCGTCTCTCATCCCAACTTGATAATGAGGAATGCAGTGTGACCCTGACCTCTATCAGCCCATGCGTGACCTTCTGACTCTACTATATAACCTTTGACCTTCTCTTTGACAGCTTGATTAATTACCCTGTGTTATGATTTATGAGTAAGTGCTACGTAAAAATAATAGACAACAGGTGGTCCTCTGAAAACTTTTGTGGCGTGTTTTCTTTCACTGACTTGATGATCTATCTTAAGTAGGAGACTTATCTGGGGTAATCTATGTTGGTTGATATTACAGTTATTTTATATCATGTATACAGCATGATATTCATGAAACTGCCTATTAAAAGATAATCCTCATGAATATTTTATAAAATATTTGTAGGGTGCAAATACCTTAATACATCTTGAGAAGCACAAAAAGGAGTCAAGTGACATTTCAGGCATTTCAGTGCCAGGTCACGTCTTGAGAAAATTGCTGAAATAATGAAGGGGGCATTTTCCAAGCAGAGCTGCAGCTCTAGCAGCTATGCTTACTTTAACGCTTCACTAGTGACTTCTGATTGGTTGTCATGATGTTGCAGCAGTGACATATGCATACCGTTCTTGTGAAGAAGAAACAGCAAACTCTTTCTGAAAAGATGAGTGACAGTTGTTTGTGCATTTTACCTGTGGGCAGTTATTAGATAACACTGCCTTGAGGATGAACACCTGTCTTCTTTGAAGCGAAGCAGGTAGAATGTTGAACTGGAAGAATATGATTGATATATCTATGTAAAATGATCTCCTACAGAGCTTTGCCTGGAGACCGAAATGGATAGTTCCATGGGTCAAAAGATTCTCGTGTGGCCCTTGACCTCTTTGGTCACATGTGGCTTCGAGTATTGGCAAGTTAACACGCAGAGCAGACTACTTTCAACTGATGTTTTTAATTTTAGTCACTCATAGGGTATTTTAAAAGCTGTAGAATTTGCCCCCATTTTCCCTTCTGTTTATAATTGGTAATTAATACACAAGCTTTTATAAGTCTTTAGTTTTTATAGTTTTATTTGGCATGAAAAGTAGATTTTGTCAGCTATTTTTAGATTTCTGTCAATATCGTCTTGATAAGTAAATTTCTGTGCTGACTTAATTTCTCTAGCACAGTTTCCTGTGTGTTCTTTGTGTTGAATTTTACCTGTCTGTTTCAGCCTATGCCATTATTTGTTAATGGAATGCTAAATTATTATTTAATAGTAAGCGTCTTTTTAGTCTTCACAGTAAGAGATCCTGGGACTCTGTGTATTTTATGTTACTCGTGTTTAACAAAGTGCTGTGTTTTAGCACTAGACTCGGGCGAGTCTCAGATTAAGATCCTGTAATTTAGAATTTATGAGTAAAGACATGTAAATGAAACCCCAGTTAACAGAAGAACTTTCCATGTGTATTTAGCATGTGTATGCAGCTTCCTCTGCATGCTATGGGACTTTCATGTACTTAAGGAACAATTAAGCAAAATTAACAAGTTAACAAAAAAGAATGCTTCAGTGTAGCGCTCAGGATTGTAGGTCCTTGTTAAAGATTCCCCTGTTAAGGGCAGCAATAAATAGTTCTTTATAATATGCTTTATGTCTGATTTTATTTGGTAGTTTTGTAACTTTACATTCAAGAAAGATCACACTAAATCAGTCTTTTTTTTTCCTTAGCTTGCTGTGTGTTATTGAATTATTGGGAATGGAATTATTTTTTAAGTCAGTATATGTTCTAGTTATTAAGGTTTTAAGTTCTACTAAAACAATTAAGTGTAGATATTTTTATCTCTGCTTTGTCTCACTTTACTTTCTTTGCACCTTGGCTACCATTTATCAGTGTTGACATTACCAAAGCCTTTATACAAATATGTAAAAATAAAATCTAATATAAAGGTATTTTTGACATTGTATGTAAAAGAGAAAGGTAAGGGGCAGGTGAAGTTTGGGGTATGTCTGTGGTTAGGATTTAAGTAAATCAATGCAAATACCTATGCGGCCTTTATTCTACTCTTTATAAGCTTGTTAAAAATGAACTTTTGAACATTGTATCAGTTTATTATGAAATAATAATTCAAAATGTTAGTATTTTCTTTATCAGAATTGTATTTAAATTTTCAAGTCTTATTTTTGCAGAAAATATCCCTGATTATTTGTGATCATTATTATTTTAAATAAAATGACAATTTAAAATATCTAAGGGATACAATATTCTTTAAATGGTTTGGGCAGTTAAAAGCAATAATTTAACTATTTCAAAATTTATTGTTGACATTAAGTGTTTAAATTCTTTAATTGATTTGCACTGTGGTGATTTATAAATGGTATCATTTTCTTCTGTTGATGCCTCAGTGAAAAATGGACATTGTGCCTTTGGAAAATTGAATAAATGATTCTCAGTTACATAGTCAATAACTTAGGCAACTACTACTTCTTTGATGATTTATGTATGTATATTTTTAAAACTTATTTAGATGAGACATCTCACATTTCAGGATCCATTTCAAATTAATGAGGCTCAAGGTTTGTTTTCTTCTTTTTTTAAGTCTGACTTCCAAAAATGTGGTCAAAATGCCCAGAAGGGTCTGATGTTATGGAAATAATATTTGGGTAATAAAGCTACATATCAGTTTTATCATTAGTTTTGCTCAGAGTTGTTCTCATTGCAAATCCTTGTTATATTATTATTTTAATTATTATATAAGCATCATCTAATATAATCAATAATTAAAGTGTCACTTTGTTGCCCGGGGTTTGAATATTCCTATCATCATTATACTGAGCTAAACAATTATTTACAGCTTTTATGCAATTTAAGATTCTATTTGGACTATTTAGCTTGTGTACAAGTACGAAAAGCTCTCTCTGTGTGTGTGCGTGAGCATGTGCATGCACGCGGTTGTCAGAGAAGGTAGGGAAGAACTATGACAGACGAGCACTTATTCACAGTACAGATCTAGTGGGAAGGCAGTTTTCCTTTTGGCCTGTGCTGACCTTTTTTGGCCATGTTCCTTACACCAGAGACAGTATACTGAATGTCTGCATTTCATCATGCTTAGCAGAGTGTAACAGTGCTCTTTAATTTACTTTGGTGGGAGGAGAAGGTGTAGGTAAAATTTGAGACGGGCGTGAACAGTTGTAAAAGGCACAAGGAAGAGGGCTAAGAACTTCCTTCGAATGTTATTTTAATAATTAGTCAAGTGTGTCCAACTGTCGAAAATCACCAAGTGACAATCTGTCTACCTGACAGAGATCACAATGACTTACAAGACTTTTGAATAGCTATACAGATTAGAATAAAGCAGGCCCAAATAAAATGTCTTTTGTTGGTAAAACTTTGACTCAAAAGCTAACAAACTTAAAAAGGAAAGTGTGCAACATCTGTCTTACTCTGAAGTCAAAGGTTGGAATTTTTACACTACTCTTTCAGTGATTCATAATGAGGCATTTATGCACAAGTTTGATTGCAGGATCTGTTGAGTGTGTGCCATTTTGCTCATCATGTTGGCATTTATTATTAGTTTCCACATGTATAAAAAGATTATATCTTAATTAATAGCCCTACCCCCAAATCAGGACATCAATGGTTTTAGTCAACAGTAAAAGGGGAAAGGATTCCAATGACATTTACAACTAGTTCATGGGTCAAAACAAAAACAAAAAAAATCACAACCACAGTGGAGTAGACCTAAAAGTAAGAACTTAGGGCTATGTCAAGATTGATTTTTTTAAAAATAATGTTTGTTATTTAAAAGAGTTGAAATAAGAGCTTTATGTAGAAAATTCCATGGTTATATTTTGAAACACTGTATTTGTTTTTATTATGGATGCAGACTTTACAAATGTCGTTTTCTGTGGTCTTTATATTTTTTGTCTTAATATAGTACATTTCTAGGTATGACTTTAAAAGATTTTTACAAGATTATAATTAGGACATTTGTAATTCAGTATTGAATAGAAAATACATAAATTACTTCAATTTTTCCATTCTTCAAACTTGGTAGTAGTTGTTGTGTTTCTAATGTTTAGATTAATTCATCAGTTCAGTCTGAATAGCTGATCTATCAGAAATGTTTGCCTTATAGAAGTGAGTAAGTCAGGAACATATATGTTTAAAATCTAAAGCCATTATACCTAGATTTTAAACTTTGGAACTTACAGTCTTAGGGCACTCATTCTTAAACAAGATAGCCTGTTCCTGTGGCCTGGACCATTAAGCAAGTTTCCAGATTAAACAGGTCTTTCCACACGTCATCCCATTGGTTTATTTTGCTCGGTGTTTTTCTCGGTCTTTCTGTATTGAAAGAGAGGAAGATCCAAGGTGCACAGGTGATACACTTTTTTCAAAACACACATTTGTGCTTTGAATGTATTCCTGTGTTATAATTTATATTAATCATATTAGGAATAGATTGTATTTTTTCATTTAAAATTCTTCATTTTTTTCTGTATCAACCATGTCCATGTATTTTTATTCTTACAGATAATCTATGCTTATTTATGCATGTAATAAAGGCAAATAGTTTTGACTTTATTTAAAAATTTAGCCTAATCTTTGCTAAAAGAATATTTTAACAATTTGAAACTGCATTAAATTACCTTGCCTAGAATGTTAGGAACTTTTTCGTTGATTGACATGCATTCTGATTTCAAATTTTACCACTTTTTTTTTTTTCATTTCAGGAAGGGTATGGAGTCATAGTCCTGAACCCAAATGAAAACTATATTGAAGTGGAAAAGCCAAAAGGGCACAAACATTCATCTTCTGATGGCACAGAGGAGCCAGCAGAGAAGCGGGAAAGGAAAGATAAAGTCTCTAAAGAAACAAAGAAGCGCCGTGATTTCTATGAGAAGTACCGTAACCCCCAAAAAGAAAAACAAATGATGCAGCTGTTCATCAGGGTGAGAAAGTGCACTACTTCCCTGCACTGCTTCTTTGCTTTTCTTATTATTTCATCTCATATCAATTATTATATTGTCCTAAAAGCTATTGATTCTTTACTTTTTAGAAAACATTTATTTTCCATGATTATATGTCTATTTGGATGGGATTTTTCTTTCTTTTTAATTAAAGTTATGAAACCTTTCACTCTTATTTGCTTGCAACATTTTATAGAATCTCTAATGTAGATCCTGTTGTCTTTTGTGTCATTAGTATTTCAAGTAACCATTTATAAAATTTTAATATGATACAGCCAAAAGAAAGAAAACTTTTTAATGCATGTTACTACTTCAAGGCCTAATGAATATAGCGCAGTAATTCTAAGACAAGATGTAAGATTGTCTTCATCTGTGGTGGCAAGTTTCACCAGATGTTTATGAACAATTATTCATCCACAGTTTCTAATTCATTTCAGGGTGAAGTAGTTAATGTGTCAATAAATATATAAGCTCAAACCATTCAGAGGCAGTGCAATGAGGGGATTTTTGTGCGCTTGTCATTTCCAGTGAACCTTTGCACAGAATCATGGGATCCCTACAAGCGGTGCCGCCCTAGGACACAGAGTTCTGTACTGACACACACAAACATTTTTGAACTTTGTCATATTCTTTGAAGACACCAATGTGTGCCGTTTTCAAAATGTGTGTTTTGTTGGATAGAAGTTAACAGTAAAACATTTAATAAAATGCTGCTGGAAGAAGGAAGATAGTAAGTTGATATGTTCTTTAAAGTTGAACAATCAGCGTCCTTAAAATTTAATATTTTATGTTTATAGAGAGGGTTGAGAAAAAAATAAGATTCACTGTGTAGCCCAGATTGGCTATGTAGTCCAGATTTCGCTTAAACTTATGTGAAATTCTCATTTTTCCCTGCTGGATTACAGTGTGAGTACCAGACCTGGCTCTATCCTGTAATGTAGTAGTGACATTTTAGAATATTCAATTTGAACCATGTTTACATTTATCCTTAAAGATTACTAGTTAGATATTTCATACCATCTCTGAGGGAAAACACATTGATTACTGGTTTTATTTCTTAATCTTTTTTATGATATGACACTATCTTTCTGGTTTTAGAAAATGAACTTCAATAGCAGTCAGTATATTTTCAAAATCCTGAAAACTGTGGCCTGACCAGGATTACACAGAATATTTAATATCATGAGTCAAATTAGTTAAGCAGACTATAATATTTCGCTTTTTGTGAATCATCCCACTGTTTAATAATTATTAAATTTATAGTCTCTTAAGTATTCTGTTTTTCCTGCTGTAGATATCTTTGCACAACTACACCAAAGTTTTCATACTGGCTTTTATGTCTATCTGTTCTTAAATTTTGCCATATCATCCCATGTGTAACTACCATTTATGATAAAGTACCTCTCGTATCCAGATTCCAAAAATGACTTTGAAGAGACTTTTTAAATACTTGTAGTCTTCGTGTGTGTGTGAAATGGAAGCAACACCGTGACTTGGCAATGCTGAGATGCTTATTTCTCCATTGTTTGCTGTCATTTGTACAGATTAAGTGTCTCAAACACTCACTTGAAGAGTGGCTTCTCATTTGCCTTCCATTCTGTCTCACCAGCATTGCTTGGGTTTTTCTCTGTCTTTATATGTATCTGTTTTCTTTGCTTTCTTCATGTCTGCATCTCTGAAAAAACTCTTTTGGCTACTAGGATTTGATTTCTTTTGTTTTGTTTTTAACTTTTCACTTAATTCGTTTCCAATTTTTATACTGTAGCTATTTTTCCATCATTTTTATTTATTTATGAAGGAAGAGAGTAGAATTGGCCTTTTTTATTGTTGCTGTTGCCATTTTCCCCAAATGAGCTTTCCTTATATAAACACTCTTCCTCATTTGGACCTTGGGAGCTCAGTCCAGTGCTCCAATGTGGGTCTCAGTCTCTATCTCCATCCATCGCCAGATGAAGGTTCTATGGTGATATGCAAGATATCCATCAATATGGCTACAGGATAGGACCATTTCCGGCTCCCTCTCCTCAGCTGCCCAACGATCTAGCTGGGGACATCTCCATGGACACCTGGGTACACCTCTAGAGTCAAGTCTCTTGCCAACCCTAAAATGGCTCTCTTAATTAAGATATATACTTCCATGAGCAAGGAAGTCAGGACTTCGAGTGGGACGCCCACCCACTGAGATGGTGGGACTGATCTAATGGGAGCTCACCAAAGCAAGCTGGACTGGGACTGATGGAGCATGTGATCAAACCGGACTCACTGAATGTGGTGGACAAGGAGGGCTGACTGAGAAGCCAAGGACAATGACACTGGGTTTTGATCCTACTGCATTTACTGGCTTTATGGGAGCCTAGTCTTTGTGGGATGCCCACCTTCCTGGACCTGGATGGCAAGGGGAGGACCTTGGACTTCCCACAGGGCAGGGAACCCTGACTGCTCTTTGGACTGGAGAGGTAGGGAGAGGGGAATGGGGGGAGGAGGAGGGAAATGAGAGGAGGGGAGGAGGTGGAAATTTTTAAGTAAAAATTTTTTAAAAAAAACCTAGTATAAGGAGAAAGCAGACACTGAAACAGCAACTTTTACAATCTTGAGTCTAAATTGTTAATATAAAGAACCCTAAAGGTCAAACAATACCAAGCTATGAGCTTTCCAAGCTCTATGTGACGCTACATTACTGCTCAGCATAAAAACAACCTGTAAAATATTTCACTCATGACAATATTTATTAAACATCTAAATTACGTGATTTGGGTTTACTGGGTTGAATTAAATTTGCCATGGAAACTAAAAAAAAATAAAATAAAAACACTCCTCTGAATCATACAGGCTTATATGTGACTTTTTGAGTTAACAACATATTTTCTTAACCCTATTTCTCTTAAATCACCTTGGATTGTGCATAATAGCATGTATATGTGGGAACCCTTTAATATGCTTCTGAAAGATAAGGCTTTCTTCAAAATCTGAAAAAGAATGTCTTGTCTAATGTATAGTGCATTCATTATTAGGTAATATTGATTCACTCAAGAAATTTTTTTCCTGGGGCTGGAGAGATGGCTCAGAGGTTAAGAGCATCGCCTGCTCTTCCAAAGGTCCTGAGTTCAATTCCGAGCAACCACATGGTGGCTCACAACCATTTGTAATGAGGTCTGGTGCCCTCTTCTGGCCTTCAGGCATACACACACAGAAAGAATATTGTATACATAATAAATAAATAAATATTTTTTTAAAAAAAAGAATTTTTTTTCCTTTTTATATGTCTCCAGGTATTACCGCATCATGGTAATAACAAATAAAGGAGAAATTAACTTTTTATATTCTTCTTACTCATTCATGTTTAGACTTTCTCATCTTTTGAAAGGTTCATACAGTATGTTTTGATATATTCCCCATCCCCAGACTCTTCCCACAGCTGCCCACCCTACTTTGTGTATCTTTTAAAAGTAACCCATTAGTACTAATTCATGCTGCATAAATTTTCCCGTAGAATGTGGTTGACTTACCAGGGAGTATACAAAACTGTCTCTCCTTTTCTAGCTGCTAATGTTTGCCAGTAGTGCCATAGACAGGGGTGAGATTTCATACCCAAATCCCAGTAATGTGGTGGGATTTGACCTGGGTTGGACTAACATAAGTTCTGTACAGGACCTATTATCTGTCCGATCATAGATTTTGAAATCAATAATGGTGCCAGTTATGGGTTTCATTCTATAGAGCAGGTCTTAAATCTAGTCAGAAATTGGTTGCCGTCTTTTAAGTGAACTGATGCACAGGCTAGAGTCATACAGCTAGGAACTGATAGAAATGTGTGTTCAAATCATGTAATTAGCATGGACTTTTGTCCCCATACATCTTTACCACATTGTCCTTCCTAGAGAAAACAAATTATGGAGCTGAAATAAGAAAATTAAAACTATTTGGTAGGAACATGTTATGGTATAGTTACATCTGTTGGTGATAAATATATTTTTTAAAAATATATGTTAGATTTATTTATTTATTTTTTTGGTGATCACATTTCTTTTTTTTCCTTTATTTTTTTATTAAAAATTTCCGCCTCCTCCCCACCCCATCCCCTCCCCCTCCCTCTCCAGTCCAAAGAGCAGTCAGGGTTCCCTGCCCTGTGGGAAGTTCAAGGTCCTCCCCCCTCCATCCAGGTCTAGGAAGGTGAACATCAAAACAGGCTAGGCTCCCATAAAACCAGTACATGCAGTAGGATCAAAACCCAGTGAAATGTCCTTTATTTATGCCTAGTACATCCCATGTTCCTCTTTTTGGGTCTGGCTTACCTCACTCAGGATAGTGTTTTCTATTTCCATCCATTTGCATGCAAAATTCAAGAAGTCCTTGTTTTTTACTGCTGAGTAGTACTCTAATATGTATATATTCCATACTTTCTTCATCCATTCTTCCATTGAAGGGCATCTAGGTTGTTTCCAGGTTCTGGCTATTACAAACAATGCTGCTATGAACATAGTTGAGCATATACTTTTGTTGTATGATAGGGCCTCTCTTGCGTATATTCCCAAGAGTGGTATTGCTGGGTCCAGGGGTAGGTTGATCCCGAATTTCCTGAGAAACCGCCACACTGCTTTCCAAAGTGGTTGCACAAGTTTGCATTCCCACCAGCAATGGATGAGTGTACCCCTTTCTCCACAACCTCGCCAGCAAAGGCTATCATTGGTGTTTTTGATTTTAGCCATTCTGACAGGTGTAAGATGATATCTCAAAGTTGTTTTGATTTGAATTTCCCTGATCACTAAGGAAGTTGAGCATGACCTTAAGTGTCTTTAGGAGAATCCAAAGAAAAACATATAGGCATCCTCCTGAATATTAACCTTCATCAGGCGATGAAAGGAGACAGAGACAGAGACCCACATTGGAGCACAAGACAGAAATCTCAAGGTCCAAATCAGGAGCAGAAGGAGAGAGAGCATGAGCAAGGAACTTAGGACCGCGAGGGGTGCACCCACACGCTG